GGGGAAAGAGAGAAGTGTGTGTGAGAGAGAAAATAAATAGGACGAGAGAGAAAAACCTACGCACAAAAAGCATATTTGTTTCAAGGTTTTTTAGGTCTCGTTCAGTTTGTGAATTTGAGTTAGTATATGATTTTATGTGAGAACTTTTTACTATAGTAGAGAAGTTAGATATGACTTTTTATGAGAGCTTTTAACTGTAGCAAAACTAAAATTAAAAACTCAAATAGGTGAAATGAACAAAGTTTTAGTCTTTCAGATTAATTTTTTGTTTTGCCACAGAGAAAAATTGAGAAAATTGCGCTGCGTTTCTCTTATATTTGATAAAATTGATGAATTTATTTTTAAAGTGCACGAATATAAAATTTTATCTCTTATTCTCAATTATTACTCTTATAACTAATATAATTAATTAATAAAAAATGATATTAATAAAAAATGAGAATATAAATCAGGTATTTATTGCCTTTCCTCCTACAAAAATGCTCAATTTGTAATTTGCGAGGGGGCCAGCTCGATCCGACAGTCTGATGTGTAATAGACGTGACCCGGCCCGAATATCTTTCGCTTGTAAGGGCGAGGCTGAGCCCCTTTATTTACGTCCTTACCAAGCAGAAAAGCAGATATTCTCGTAATTTCAAACCAAGCCAACGTCACAAAAGGTCCATGGGCCTATAAATACGGGACAACCGCATTTGTTTGAAACCATAGACAGAGAAGGAAAGAGAGGGAGAGAGAGAGAGTGGGAAAAGAGAAAACAAGAAAATCTCTCTTTGTGAGACTGTCCTGTGTGTGTGAGTCAGTGGAGCGAAACAAGAAGTAGGGAGCTAGTGAGACTGGGAAACCAAGCAACGGATTTCGCAGAAACCCCTTAAAATCGTTCAGAAATTTTCACTTGTTTTGCTCAATTTTCCCGTCATTTTGAGGATCTGATTCATCCGAATGAGTCGTTTAGGGTTCAAATCGGTGGTGTATCATGGCGATTTGTGTTTGGGAGAATTGGATGTTATTCCGATGAAGGACAAGAATTTCCAGTTCCCAAACAACGAGATTCGCATCCACCGCATTTCGCCGCAGAGCGAACGATGTCCTCCTCTCTCGATTCTCCAAGCGATTTCTTCATTTTCCGTATGTTGCAAGCTCGAGTCGTCTTCTCCGGTCGAACAGCCGCATTTGATCAATCTTCACGCCTCTTGCCACTACGAATTGAAGGTTTTCATTCTCCACTCAATCGCTTCACTTCTGTGGGCTTCTCTCTCTCTTTTTTTTTTTTTTTTTTTTTTTTTTTTTTTTTTGTTTTTTTTTTTTTTTTTTTTTTTGCGTTCTCGAACTTCTGTTTGGTCGCCGAGAAAATTCACTCGGTCACTTACTGGAGCAAATTTATTAGTTTCAAAAATTCAGAGAAAGGTAATTGTATTGATTTTGGTAGTGCGATTTGAACGTTCGTTTTGGTCAATTCAAACTTTGTTTGATTTCTGTTTGGTTGCCGAGGAAAAATATTAGTGGTTTTGGAATTTGGGAGAAAATGTGTCAAACAGGATTTGGTTTTATTTCCTTGCAGACGGCCGTGGTATTGGTTGGGGAGGAAGAGATTCACTTGGTGGCGATGCTAAGTAAGCAGAAGAAGTATCCCCGATTTTGGTGCTATTTGGTTCCCAAAGGATTGTACAATGCTTCCTTAGGAATGTTGAATCTGCGGTGCCTCTCGATCGTATTCGATCTCGACGAGACGCTGATCGTTGCGAACACCATGAAGTCTTTCGAGGACAGGATCGAGCTTCTGCGAGGTTGGGTTGCGCGCGAGATTGATCCGATACGCTTAGCTGGAATGCATGCGGAAATGAAGCGCTACATGGATGATCGATTAATCCTAAAGCAGTATTTGGAGAGTGATACCGTGATGGATAACGGAAGGATGTTTAAGGTTCAAATGGAAGAAGTTCCTCCACTATCTGACAACCATGAAAGGTTTTTTCGGCCTATAATTAGATTGCCAGAAAAGAATATTGTTCTTACTCGCATTAATCCCGAGGTTGGAAGGTCTCTCTTACAACTGTTTGTTTTATTTTGCATTATTAATTGAGTACTTTACCTGTATGTTTTACAGTTGATTTTGGGTTCACTTTCTTCAATTCATTATATGAACTGCATTTTGGACTGGGAAAGATGGTGTTGGGACCTCGATTTAATCGCAATTGATTTATGGAAAATGGTTAAAGCTTAAATCTACAGCAACAGTAGGACTAAATTGGATACTTGGCTGAAAATTTACTAGCATTTCCCCACCCCAAAACCCCACTTCAAGCTGCAGCGTAATTCTTTTGCTGATGAATTGACGCATCTAGTTGGGCTTGCTTAATATTGCTTAACATCATGAAAGACCCTTTTTTTTTGTGGTGGCATGTGAATCAACATTTCTTTTAAGAAGATGCCAGAGGGGATGGATATATAAACTTGAAGTATTTGTTTTCTGTGCCTTTTTTATGAGTTCTTGATAATTTTTTTTCTCCCTCTTGGTTAGATAGTGAGGATGGGCATCCATAAGACCTTGCTTCGCTGGTTTTTTCCTATTCCTATTACTTGTATCTCTCAGGATACTGCACAACATTGGAGGGCAGGCTTGCTGAGGAATATATTCAAGTTATAAATGTTGCTTTTCTTTTATGGCTTGTTAAGAGAATTATGATATTTTGGAATACTGTAGAGGTGAATCAGTTCATTTGAGAATGATTTTTATATTTCATCATCTAATGCAGATTCGTGATACGAGTGTTCTCGTGAGGTTGCGACCTGCATGGGAAGATTTGAGAAGTTACTTGACAGCGAAAGGAAGAAAAAGGTTTGAAGTATATGTTTGTACTATGGCTGAAAGAGATTATGCTTTAGAAATGTGGAGACTTCTTGACCCTGAGGCTCATCTGATTGGTACAAGGCAACTTCTAGATCGTGTTGTTTGTGTCAAATCAGGCATGCTCTCCTTTCATGAAACCCTCTCACCCCTCCGTGCTTTAAATCTTGTTGCAGTCTAAAAATGAGCTGCCATTTCACGTTTGTTTGAATCCGAAGTTATTCTTTTGTTCTTTCCAATTACAAATGTTTTGTTTTGATAAGTAAAAAAGCAAAAAAAGAAAAAAAAGAAAAAGAAAAGAACAGAGGTTGCAGAGCGGAGGTTGCTTCTTATTATAGTCAACTTATTGAATTATTTACAAAAGTAACTAAACTTGATTGATAATGCCACTCTTAATAGTTCGATGCTAACCTCTTTAGCTCTCTGTTTTATTTGAACAATAGCGATATTTTCATTCAACCAAAATCTCTCGGCCCGTTTGGTATATGGGTTCAAACCAGGGTTCAAAACGGGTTCAAACCAGTGATTTTGATTATGACTTTTAAAATTCAAATTTTTTGGGGGACAAAAACATTGTAGCAGAATCAAAACCACGGGTTTGAACCATGAAGAACCCATATACCAAACATACTCTAACATCTCTCTCTTGCGTTTGCACAAAATAACTTAACAATTTTGAATTTTATTATTAAAAATTAGGATCCAGGAAATCATTGATCAATGTCTTCCAAAATGGTATCTGCCACTCAAAGATGGCAATGGTAATTGATGACCGCTTAAAGGTTTGGGAAGATAAGGATCAACCTCGAGTTCATGTAGTCCCAGCATTCACGCCTTATTATGCTCCTCAGGCAGAGGTACTGAATTGTGTCATTTTAAGCTTTACAAATTCTTGCATGGTTTTCTGATTTTTTTTCTCTATTTATCTGACAGACCGCAAATGCCGTTCCAGTCCTGTGTGTGGCGAGAAATGTTGCATGCAATGTCAGAGGATGCTTTTTCAAGTAAGAGGTCTTAATTATAGTTTTTTTGGTGTTTCTTATCTCGGAGATCTAAGAGGTGGCATTTATGTGGCTGTACATACTCCAGAGAGTTTGATGAGAATTTGCTGCGAAGAATAACTGAAGTTTTTTATGAAGATGATGTACTGAATTTACCTCCGGCTCCTGATGTTAGCAATTACTTAATGTCGGAGGTATATGAATTAGCAAATATTTTATTCCTGATTGGTTCTATGAATGCCTACTTTTACCTCCATCCCTTTCTATTCTTTACTGTGGCTGTTTTTGGATGTCAGGATGCTGGTTTTGTACCAAATGGAATTCCTCCTCTCATCAATGAAGGAATGTACGGTGTTGAAGTTGAACGCAGATTGAGCCAATCTGTAAGCTTCTTTTTCTTGAGTTTGTTGGTATGTTATCTGCTGAGAGATAGTTGCAAAATGAAAGGAACGTTACATGGGGTGTGTGTGTATGTTATATTGCAAGCATGCTCTTCAGGGATGGCACTTTTACCATCAATGCTTTTATTTAGTGCATTTAAGGAACAATTTCTTTTCTATCTATGGCCCTGTTTGTTTCACAGTTCGAATCACAACTCAAACTTTTTGCTGTAGTGTTTTTTTTTTTCTTTTTTCACAAAAATTCAAAGTCAACTCTTTGTGCTACAATGTTTTCTCTCACATAAATTCACTTTTCTAACTCAAGTTCTCAACTCGAACAAGCGAAACGAACGGGTCCTACATATATCGTCTTCTTCTGCTTCCTCTCTCTCTCTCTCTCTCTCTGTTTTCTTTTTTCTTTTTTTTTTTAATTTCCTTGACCATTTTTTTTTTCTTTCTTTTTCAGGATGATCGGCCTGTTATGGAATCAGCTTCTCATTCTTCAACAAACAATGTCGAGTTAAGATCTGAAACCTTCCAGGCATCTGCTCCAATTCTTCCAAATGCTATTCCTGCATCTTTGGGACCACTCCTTCCATCTCAGAGTATGAGAGTTATTGGCTAACAATTTTATTTTGTTTTTATTAGCATGATACATGATAAATATGTGCTTTTATCTTTTACTGACATGCAACCTCTTTCCAATTATACTATAGGACCGGGTTTGCTAGGAACTCCTGTTAGACGAGATGGCTTTTCTGATCGTGATCATGACATGAAGAAAGGAGTTAGTACCTTGAAATATGGTGTAGAAATGAGAAACCAAAGCTCGGGTGAACCCCCACTTCTATCTAGATTACCTACACACCTTTCGATGCCTCCTGTACAGGCACATGGAGGTTGGTTGGTGGAGGATGACATAAATAGAGGACCTCTAAGGAATCGTCCTTCGGGGCTTGTTCAAGAATCTGATGTGCTAAAACCAGAGAAGCAACGAGCTCATCAGAACTCCTCTTCATATACAACTTCTTGCTATACTCCCACTGGTTTACTCTCACAAACTCCTGAAGTGAAGAGTGAAGAGGTTTACTCAGAATTTTCTTAACATTTGTTCTTTTAACCACAGCTAGTTTCGAGAATCCATAAAGCTTGGCTTCTTAATCAGTTAAAACTTGCTCATCTACAGGGACACAATGGGAATAGTTTGCAAAAGCAAAATCTTCCAATTGTCAGTCAGTTATCTGGTAGGTCATATTATAAAGAAGTTTGTGTAAAGTAATGGAGAGAGAGAGAGAGAGATCTGAATAAGAATAATTGTTTTAGATTTACACAAGCTTGTGCTGCTAGGTTCTGTTTCTTGATAGATTACTTGTTGGCACAATAAATTTAATAGTTTTGTGAAGTATATTCTAGTAGAACTCAGAATGCACACATAATATTTATATTTTTAGCTAATTATTACTTTCTGCAGATGCTGGTGTGTCTCAGAATCAGGCAGCTTCAAACAGTCGAGATGTGCACCCCGAAGGCGGAAAACTGAACCTGCTACCGTCCCCTTTATCTATTGGAGTTCTGCAAGAAATTGCACGTAGATGCAGCTCAAAGGTACTATTGTCTGAGTGTGGATGCTCTTTTGTGTGTGTGGAATTTTCTGTGACATGTTGTACTTTGCAGGTTGAGTTCAAGTCTGTTCTAAGCACTAGTAAGGATTTGCAGTTTTCTGTGGAGGTTAGTACTCAGTATTTGACCTTCCTCTCAAGTTTGTGTTTCTGTAATTGTTACCACTGACGGTTAATTTTTTGTTTCTTGAGATGAATTATTTGCCAACCCTTAATTGAAAAGTGTTTTCTTAAGAAATAGAGTAAGTGTTTCTGAGGCTAGTAATTAAACAACTTAAATTAAATTAAACTGCATAAAATCAGGGAAATTTATATATTATGAGTATCGGGCTGTTCTTTGAATGTAGCATACTTATTGTTGACTCATTGGTTTAGGTTTTGTTCACCGGTGAGAAGATAGGGGTGGGAATGGGTAAGACGAGAAAGGATGCTCAGCAACAAGCTGCTGAAAACGCCCTTCATAACTTGGCTGGTAAATTTAGCCTTTAGTTTGCAGTTTGTTTTTTCCCCTTCTTTCTTTGCAGCAATCGGTCCTTCTTCTATCAGCGTTTTCAGTATCAGTTAGTCTTCTGTATGAGGGACCACCTTTTCTTTAATATTTATTATTATAACTCAAGTTAAATGGGTTGAATATAGTTCATCAGGGGTTGACTACTGAAGAAATTGCCTTGGATTTTCTTAGTGAGTTAACTAGTAAGGTATCCGTGCTATTGCACGGATAATAAAATTAAAGTGAATAATGCAATATTCAATTATGAAATGTTGAGTATGGAGTAACATATTATAAAAAAAAAAATATAAAAATGCGGAATCGGGCCTCGAGGCGTTTTGCCTTTACGAGGCGAGGCGTAAGCCTCAAGGCGCTTTGAGGCGTAAGCCTCAAAAACTGCCTATAAAAAATTTAGAAAAAAAAAGTAACAAAAACTAAATCCATACTTAATAATCATTAAAAACAAGAAATTTAACCAAATATCTACATAAAGACTAAATAATTATCAAATCCTAATATCATAAGGATCATAATGCACATCTAAAAGCCTAATCTCCCAAGTCATCAATCATCATCACTACTAAGAGAAGCATCAGCCAATTTAAATCTCTCATTGTCCACGAATTCTTGACTGTCAGTGTCAGAATCACAGTCTATCCACTCTTCTTCTTCATCCTCTTGCATGATCTCCTTGCCTCTATCACCTAATAATAAAAATTAAACTTAAGTTACTATCTCTTATATGATAATTAGAGTAAATAATAGAGAAGACAACTATTAATTCATACGGCATATCTTGCCACTAACTTGTCCTCTTCTTTTTAGAGCTTTTTTGAGCTCTAGTACTAGTACTAGTACCTTCTCCATCCTCAAAAAGATTAATGTCAAGATTGTCAATTGCTTCTTCCGTTTGAATTTCACCTTCATTTTCATTTCCAACTATCCATTCATTATCAGATGGCAACTCATCAATGATTAAGGGATCCTCATCTTGCTGAAGTGCCTTTTTTTTTTCAAATGTCGATCTTTTAGCTTCTTGTTGAACATGATGTAGACCAAGGAATTTATCTTTTGTGCAGTCAAGCGATTTCTTCTCTTGGTATGAACTTGGTTGTGGGGACTTTCATTGCGTTCACATCCCGAAGATGAACAAGTGAGACTCAAAACTCTAACTGCAAAGCTAGCCAACTCTAGGGTACCATCTCCAAATTGGGACCACCAATCATTTGAATTTAAAATTGAGATGAAAATAATTAGTCAAAATTAATAAGATAGTTTCTACTTACTAGGATTGCATTTCATGTATGATGCTTGAGCTTGACGAAGGCTAAAAAACCCATTCTTCTGTCGAAATTCATCTAGTTGGAGGTCGGCCTTCTCTAGATCATTTGGGTCCTTAAACATCCTATTCATGCAACCAAGCTTGATCTCAGGATAGTTGGAAGGATTATCGGAGTATCGAATCCTTGGATTCAAGTAGTATGCCGCGGCATGTAAATGTTGATGCAACTGAAAATCCCACTTTTCGTCAATGATCTCCCAAATCTCCTTGTCGTCTTTCTCTTCACCTCCCAAGTTTTTAGCAATTTCCTCTTTTGCCTTGTCCATAGCCCCATATATAAATTCCATGGCGGGCATCTTTTCAGAGTCGACTAATCTCAACACCTTCACTATGGGTTGTGTAGACTTAAGAACATACTCAACAGCAGTCCAAAATTGATTATCCTTCATGACTATCTTTTTCACTTCTTTCCCATCCGATTTCTTTGCATATGAACTGCTGTTCCATTCCTCCAATACAAACATAGATTGTAGAGGCTGCATTAGTCTATAAATGCACTCCAAAGTTAGATAGGCAGTAGCAAATCTTGTTGTAGTAGGTGAACAAGATCCCTTTTGGTAAACTTTCTCATCAATGACAACACCCAAGGGTGATTATACACATAATTGCTAATGTTTTTTGCTTTCACCAAAGCCCTTTTATGTTGTGGCAATTCTTCTAGTTTCTCAAGGATCAAATCAATGCAATGAGCAGCACAAGGAGTCCAAAATAAGTGTTTTCTTTTCACCATTACTTTTGCTACAACAGCCTTATAAGCACTTGCATTGTCAGTCACAACTTGAACAACAAGATCTTCCCCAACTTCTTCAACAATCTCGTCAAGCATCTCAAACAATAGATTTGCATCTTTCTTTTTATCAAAGGCATCAACATATCTCAAGAAAATAGTTCCATGAGGATTGTTGACTAAAAAGTTGATCAAAACTCGATTTCTAGCATCCGACCAGCGATCAGATAAAATAGAAACTCTTGTTTGTTTCCAAGTCATTTTAACCTCCTCCACAAATTTTTCAGTGGTAAGTACTTCCTCCTTCAAAATCCATGTTCTAAGCTCATGCATACTTAGGGGTACAAGACCTCTACCATAGTTGCCGATTGATCTACACATTAAAATAGGAGGGGCTTCTAGCAATATTGAAAGCAAGTGCATTTTCATAAAATAACCTACCAATGTCGAGACATACTCGAGAACGAGCCTCTTTATCTCTTGATGTCGTTCTAAGGGAATGTCTTTTGTTTGCTTCCTTATCATCCGCATTGTTCAAAAACCTATCCATGGGACCTCTAACTCCTCTATCACTAACCACTCGCGGCGATTGACAAGAGTCGACAAATCCATCACCATAATAAGAGCCAACATCCACCATTTCTTCAAAATTTCTGATGCGCTAACTGTTCTTCAGCAGCCCACTTGTTCATATAGTCATTAATTTCTTTCTTCACATCATCAGGAACCTTAGGACAATGCTTTACATTCTTATGAGTGCAAGCAAGGTGTTCTTTCATCCTCTTAACACCTCCTTTAATAATTTGATTGCAAAACACACATTGGAGGTAAACATAAGTCCTTTTGTCATTTTCCGATGTAATTTCTTTTTCATATTTCCAAGTTGGATCCTGTCTCCCACTACGACTACCGCTAGCATTTTGTGGAGGTCTCATCCTAATTCCTAACTTTAAAAAAAAAAAAAACGAAACATTAAAGTTTAAACCCAAAAAGTCATTCACGGTCAAACTCTGCTAGAATGCTACATTGCTACTACAAAATGAAAAAAAAAAAGCCAACAAGAGATTAGATATCTTGTGAAGACTTGTGTGGCTGCGGCTGGTTGGAGCAGAGGAGCAGAGGAACCTTGTGAAGAAGAAGGAGGAGGTGGCGCGAAGGAGGAGGAGACGCACGGCAGTCGGCGAAGGAGGAGGCGCACGGCGTTTGGCGAAGGAGTTGCGAAGAAGGAGGCGCGAAGAACCACAGAGATTTGGCTATAGTGGTTGGTTTTAGAGTCTGGTATTTGGACTTTTGGGGCCGGCAGGCCCAACTCACTAAGGGTTCAAAAAAACTACAAAAAACCCTAAAAAACAGAGGCGGACGCCTCACTAAGCGCCGCTCAAAGGCGTGCACCTCCAGTGGATGAGGCGCACGCCTCAACTCCTACCCTGTGAGGCGTAGGAGTTGAGGCGCTTTTCCAGCGCCTTGCCTCGAGGCGCGCCTCAATGCGTGCGCCTCAGGCACTTTTTAAAACACTATTCTGTATGAGGGACCACCTTTTCTTTAATATTTATTATTATAACTCAAGTTAAATGGGTTGAATATAGTTCATCAGGGGTTGACTACTGAAAAAATTGCCTTGGATTTTCTTAGTGAGTTAACTAGTAAGGTATCTGTGCTATTGCACGGATAATAAAATTAAAGTGAACAATGCAATATTCAATTATGAAATGTTGAGTATGGAGTAACATATTATAAAACAATAATATTGAAAATTAAAAAAAAAAAAAAACGTTACACATTCGGAAATTGATTTTTGGAATGTTGTAATTTTTATTATATAAGTGTATATATTAATTTACATACACACACACACACACTTATATATATACAGTTATATGGCAGAGGAAAAAAAATAATATCAAACGAAAAAATGAAACCCTAAATTAGAACACAAAAATGAAAGAACAAATGTTTTTTAAAATTTTTAAAAAATATATATGAAAAGAGAAAAGCGTAGATTAAAAAACGAAAGTCGCCTAAATGCATTACCAATCACAACCTGTAAAAATACAATTATGGCAAAAAAATAAAAACAACACAATAGAAGCAAAAGTTTCCAAACAGCGAGAAAAAAAAGGAAAATAGAAAATGTGAAACCAAAAAGCAAATGTAAAAGAGGGAAGAAGAACCCAGAAGCTTCAGTAGAAGCCACAAAACGGAAACACTGAAATGAGAAAGAAAAAAAACCCATAGAACCAAAAATTTCCAAACAGCGAGAAGAAAGGAAAAAACCAAATGTGAAACTAAAAATTAAATGTGAGAAAGAGAAGGAAAAGCCAGAAGCTTCAATAGAAGCCACAAAACAAAAACACCCAAATGAGAAAGAAAAAAAAAACCGTAGGATATGAGAAAGAAAAGAAAAATCCACAAAGTTCTGTTGAAGCCACAAAAGGGAAACACCCAAATGAGAAAGAGGGAAAAACTCTAGAAAACTCTTATCCGACAAAGAGAAACCCCAAAACGAAAACACCCAAATGAGAAAGAAGGAAAATCCTTAGAAAACTCTCATCCGAGGAAGAGAAACCCAAAGGCCTTTGTTGAGGCGACAGAATGAAAACACTAAAATGGAAAACCACAAAATGAAAATGCCGAAGAGAAAAAAACCCCAGAAAGCTCTTATCCGAGGAAGAGAATCCAGAAGCCTTTGTTGAGGCCACAGAATGAAAGCACCGAAATGAAAAAAAGGAAACCAGCAGCATGGGACAAACAGGGGATTTTTCTCTGAAGTGAGAAACAGAAGGGTCCGGGCTCTGTTCTAGGAACAGTAACTCCGGTGCCTTCTTTAGTATATGTATTAATAGGGGATTTTGGTTGAACAATGGCCTCACATAGAAAAATATTCTGAAAAGTAAAACATAACAATTATTGTTGAAAGAAAATTTACTTTCTGAGTGCATTCATGACATTTAATTTGGAGAAGAAAAGTTACTTGCAATATAATATAACTGCAATTCGATACATAGACAAAAAGGTGCTGAATGTAACTTTTTATGGGTGAAATTGCAGAAAAATATGTAGCATATGTTGCACCTCGTTCTGGAGCTGTGGACAAAGATTTTGATAAGCTTTCACTTGGAAATGAAAATGGATTTCTATGGGACACTGTTAAGCCTGGATCAACCAAACTGATCAGACAAGTTGAGGTGCCCAAAGAAAGCACACCTGAGGTGGGGATTCTTGATGATGCTTTCAGTAGTTGATTTGATTTTCTATGCTGGTGATGCTTGGATAAAGGGTATGCGGGCAAGACATTTCCAGATAAAGTTAGTGGCTATCTATTGAGGACCACTCCTTTTCTTGAATTTTGCATTGCACCAAGATGTGATGGCTAAAACACTAAAAGGGGAGTGAGCTGACTTAATGTCCACTACTGCTGCCATATCCAGGCTCCATTAAGTCATGTTTTAAAAGGTAAGGGCTTGGTGGTCAGTCCCGAGTTCTACCCATTATCCAAGTACTCCCGAGTAGTTAATACAACTGCATTCTTTATTTCTTTTCTCATTTTTATCTCTTTGTCCGTACTGTTTATTAATTGCTTGTCCATATCAGTTGGTTCACAGGGGAGTGAAAAAATAGGTTTTCCTCCCATGGTCATTGTTGCGACACCAAAACAAGGCAACTACAATAATCTGAGTTCACTCTTTTTCTTATTGCTGTAGTAAAAAGAGAATCTATCACTGCTTTTTGAACTCTCTCAAATAACTTCTGTTTGTGTTGGTCAAGTTTGTTCAGTCGTTGAAGGCCATAAGTTTGTGAACCATTAACTGGTTTTCTTCCTCTCAAATTTTAAATAGTCATAACAGCTCTCTGTAGTTGTGTTTTTAATCTTTTTGGTCCCTCCCGCCCCCTTTATTTTAAAAATACTCTTTGGTCATTTGGCCTAATTGGGTCCTACGAATTAATGACGAATGTTAAATATCCGTAGACTGCTGAAATTGAAACTGAGAGTACATCCTCCACAGCACTAAATCAGCAAGTGCAAAAGCGCGCCAATTCCCCCAGGTAACATGTAACCGAGGTGAACTATTTTTGCAGTTTGAGCTTCCATTTTTTTTCTTGTTGAGTATTTGTCGCTACAGTTCATAAACAGTTCTTTAGTGGATCACCTTTAAATATATGCCTGTTTTGTGGAGTTGCTTATTGCTAATTTAATGCATGGTATTCTTAAGGTTTAATCATTTGTGAGGTGGATTAGATAATAGTAATTTTGACATCATCAGTCTTTGGTTAAACATCGGATAATTCATAAATCTTCCTTGAATCTCTTGTAGATGTCTCTTCTAGATTTCTTGCGAGGATTGACGATATCTGCATATGACCCTTTCTTTTCCTTGTACTTTAGTATCATCCTTATTTTCTTTATATTGCCATTTACATCCAGATAGCACAGCAACACAATAGATATAAGACACGTAGCAAAAACAGAAATTTAAACATTTAGGGCGACTAATGTCATTCGCTTTACAAGTATGAAAGGAATCCAAATCAACATATAATCAAATTGAGATTCTGATCTAATTTTCGTAAATGTGCGTGACTAATCTACCAGTACTGTGAAATTGATGGTGGTGAGCATGGATGCTTTTGGATTCTGATTTTGAAATTTCGTTGTTCTATCCTTCCAGATTGCAGCAATCTGGAACGACTAAACGATCAAAGGAAGAACTTAATAAAGGCTCACAAAATTTGTCAGCTTCGCGGCATCAAAAGAACGGTCATCATCCTGTTTCATGAGTATCTGGAAGCTTTGTAGAAACAGAAAAAGGAGGGGGAAAAGAATTGTAAAGCAAAGGTTTGGGGCCGATAATTTAGCATCCACAGTACAGATAGTTTTTAGTCTTAACACAGTTGAAATTGACTAACACAGGTGAATTTACGTCTGTAATTTTGTCAGGGAAGGGAGGGATATTTTTTAATTTTGCCCCACCTTTTCTTTCTGAGGGTGGATTTGATCTAGAACTTGTATTATGACCTTTTGCGGATGAGCCTAAAAAAAAAAAAACCCGGATGAGCCTGAGAAAAAATGAATAAATGCTCTTCTACCCAGAAAAAAAATGAATAAATGCTCTTCTACCCAAAAAAAAAAAAAAAACATGGGGCTGAAGGCTCAAGGAGAGAGGGCGGCACTCTCGTAACATTAAAGTGACACGTGTAGCATTGTTAAAGAGTCGTTGTATTTAGCATTCCTTATTGCGAACTTAATGTATACGATTGACAAATTTGTTTTACAAATATAATTACATGAATGCTACTCACTCTCTATAACTGACTCACACACAGGTATAATTGACACATTTCTTTTTTAGGTCTGTAACTGTTTTACAAAAAGATTGGAACATCCAAAGGTTTCTTTTTCCTTTCTTTTTTTAAGGATAAAACTAGGGGTGGTAATTTGCATCACGTGTCGTGTTTTGATCGTTTCTTTTTAAATTTACAGTCAATCCGAACAAGATCCGTAACACGAAATTTTTTAAAAATCACAACACGAACGCGACACGACCACTTTACGGGTTGACACGACACAATATGAAAATGACTCGTGACACGAAATTAACCCGTGAACCCGAAATTGACACGAAAATTGTATACTTTTATTTAGTTTTTTACATATTAAAAATAACTTAAAATTCATAACACTAAAATATAATAACATCCATTGAAATTAAGCAAATAATAGTATAAGATTTTGAGTATAATTATCATGATATCACAAGTTCATAATAAAATTAAAAATATGTAATGAAAAATATATGTATTTTTTAGTTTTTTACAAGTTTCGTGTCGTGTTCGGGTTAGGCGGGTCCATCCTGAAATTGACCCGTATTTTTCGTGTCAATTTCAGGTCGACCCAATTTTGACTAGAATTTCTTTTTTCTCAACCTTAATCCGTGAAATTCGTGTCGTTTTTGAGTCATGTTGTCGTGTCGTGACCCATATTACCAGCCCTAGATAAAACGTTTTTTTTCTGACTATACAACGTTCAAATTTTTAAGAAAATAATAAGGTATTTGAACAAAATGAACATATATGTTCCTTATAAATTAAAAACTGTTACAAAAAGAATCTGTAACTTAAATTGCAAACATAGTAGTTTACCAAAAGAAATTTGCAAAATTAGATAACATAAACAGAAAAGGTGTCAAGGAAAAAATGTTATAATTGATGTGATACATTGTTCAGTCAAAAACACGCTCAACAGACAAACAAAAAATTGAATATATTACTTTTCTTTTTTCCTTCACGGATAGATAATAGATCACAAGTATATAATGAACAATAGGAAAGCACAATAATCTGTACCATCAGGTCGCCTTCAAAAAAAAGTTCACCAGAGATTCAACAAACTAAATATAGTACTTAATTTGACCAATTTTAATGTTTTGTCTGATATATTTTTAGAAAAAAAATTAAAATGAGAAAATTAGAAAAAGACACGTTAGTGGTTTGCTTTTGATATTCTTAAGCAAAGTGCTCTTTCTTATTTTCAAGAACTTGGAGCCAAAAGGAAAGTAAGGAGGAAAACAATTTCAATAACCAGACTTGTAAATATTCGTTAACAAAAAATAAACGCGGATGAGCCTAAAAAAATATGAATAAATGCTCTTCTACCCAAAAAGAAAGAAAAAAAAAAAACAGTTTTGCAAATATCTTTGGTAGGTTTTGAGATAATAGTTAATAAGAGTATTTGACATTTGACATCCCAAACTTTGTTAGATAGTAGTGCTCAGGGTATGTAGGAAAAGCACTTGCCTGTGATGTATATATATTGACCAAAGAAAAGTGTTAAATACAACTTCTATTACTCTTTTACAGATGTTATCTTCTATATTTGATACGTGTCACTATTCATCTAAACATATTAGAAATAGTTTATTACGTAAGTATGTTCAATAGTATATATGTATAAACTATTGAACATACTTGAGTAATAAAGATTTTAACAAGTAAATTAGATAAGAAAAACTATTTATGAGGTACATAATACCTATGAGAAAATAGTAGTTGTAAGTGCTAGAAGAGAAAATAAGATTTTTAAATATGCAGGGCGCATTTGAATGAATACATATTACTTCAATATGTAACACCCTGAAGAATTAATTGAGATTAATTAAGATAATTGAGATTATTAGTGTGCCTAATCTGATTTAATTAATTGAGTTTTAATTAATAAATATTTCTGACACGTGTAATTTAAATAGTTCCAAGGTATTTAAATTATTCTCAGTAATTTATTTTAATCCAGAAGTGTGTATGAGCGCATTTCTGGACCTTTGTCTTAAAATATTATACACATGTCCTTTTCTTTTTCTTTTTCCTTTTCTCTTTTTCTTCCTTTTCTCTTTCCTTTCCCGTGCTCTCGCTCTCCCTCTCTCTCATTTTTTGTCCCAAATCAAACGGATCTTGAACCAAAGGAGAGTTTCAAAGCATTTTCAACGTCAAGAGAAGGATTCGAGGTAAGATTACTGAAAGAACCTCTCTTGAATCTCAAGTTTTTGAATTTCAAAACTTATTTTTGATTCAAACCGGATATTGATGATTTTTGAGTAAAACTAGGGTAGAAATTAGAGATCATGGGTTCTTTGGACTTGTTTTAGGACCTAAAACCTGGATCTAGTGGTTTTCCTTTGAAATATTTCAATTTGAGACTGAGATTGCAGGTTTTCAGAATGGGTTCCATGAGCTTCTCTCGCGCAGCTGATTCCACCGGTCGACCTGTCTAGTCGACCATATCACATGGTAACCGGTCGACCGGTGCGGTCAACCGGATTACATTGACCTGACCGGTCGACCTGTCCGGTCGACTGGAGTGCACACCACCGGTCGACCGGTGGTAATGCACTGTTCTGTCACCGGTCGACCGGTTGACACGAGGTTTGACCCTGTTTGGCATGAAATTGCTGTTTTGACCCCTGTTTTCGGGGAGAACCTAAATTAGCTTCATTTGGGGACTTGAGATGAATGGATTAGCATCTTTAATCCTTGTTTTGAGATTGAAAACCCTTGGAATGATAATTTGAAACATGAAAATGGATTAGGGCACAGTAATAGGAAATCTTGGTTGGAAATTGAGATTGGATTGCTTTAGGAATGAGAATTAATCCTAAAGTGTTGTCTTGCATCAGTGATCGCTGAGGATTCAGACTGAAGGGGCTTGAGGAAGCGGAAGCCAGAAAAGGCAACGCTAGTCCCAGGTTTGATAGTGTGAGGTAGGATTTTTATCCCCTTTCCTTGTGAGCCTGATTTTCAAAAAGGATTTTGGTTTTGAAATGTTTTAAAAGAAAGGGGTTGGTTTGCGAAAGAAAAACTCTTTGAAAACCATGGCTTGTGTAGTTTATGGAATCTATGGCTTATCCTGTCCATGGAATCCATAGCTTGTCCAGTCATGGAACCTCATGGCTTGCCCAGTCATGGGGCCCGCGGCTTGAGTAGTTCGTGGGGTCATAATAACGATTTCAGAAAGTTAATGAATGATTTCTTAAACTAAAAGATCTTGTGAACTAGTAAGAGAGTCTATTGCTATAAGCCTAGATAGGATGCGGATAGTGCATCCTCGGGGGCAGAACCCGAAACTCGGTCTGGGTAGGCGAGGCACTTGGTTAGGTAAGTAATTTGTACTAATTACTTGCTGAAGCCTGTAATACGGTTATTTTCAGTTATATTTCCTTTGAGAAAAAGGATGTGAGGTTCTGGCTGTCTATTGGAACTGAATGTCTATTTATTCACTTACCAATTTATTTATTTACTCGCACATTTATATATTCATTTATTTATAATGTTTATTTCAAATTATATCCTACTGGGCCTTTCGCTCACGTTTTATGTTTAACTGTATTAAACCCCTCCCAGGAGATTCTAGGAGCGGTGCACAGTAGCCGGATATTTACTACGGAGTAGCTGAGTGTTGCTGCTGTTGGGACAAGAGAGGATTGTGTTCATCCTCTGACATAAATGTAAGGAGTTAAGAATTCTGTAAACTCTAGAAATATTTGGATTAACTAGACTGTGGTTGATGTATGTTGTAATTGATTATTTACATGTTCATGTATGTACGATACTGTATGTCCTGTGGGTGGAGCCCTGTGTGTTGTCAGAGGCTCAGGATTCTGTAATTTATTTATATTTTAATGGAGTTAAGTGGGGCTCGTCTGAAAATCTGCTTTATTAACCCCTAATCGAGCTCCACGTCACCCACCCTGTTTGGGGGGTGTGACACAATACGGGCAAATTATAAAAAATTTGCATGTGAGAAAGTCGTAATTAAGAGGGTTGCTTGAAAAAAAAAATTTCTTAATTAGAGACATTTTGAGAAAAAATATTTTAATGTGTCATTTTTTATATAGCTTAGATTATATCCAAAATATTTTAAAAGGGACCAATTTGAAAGAAAAATTATTTTCATAAGAATAAATTGGAGAAAAAAAATTAGTTAGGTACAATTAAAGTATAAGATTTAATAGGAAAATATCAAAAGATCAAAAGTTCAATAAGAAATAAAATAATTTGAGATTGGATTTTGTGAGGATATAATTAAAATTTTTATTGATAAGAAGGTATATATGAATTTTTTTTTGAGAAAACATATATTAAAAATCAAATATCAAAAATCCGGGAGGGGGGTGGTATGCCCCCCTAGTCTCACCTCCCTCCGCCACTGAAAAAATCAATAGACTCCAAACAAGATATATAGTTAATGACATGGGATGTTTGTTTCCTGTATTCATTCATGATTCTGAAGCATGATTCTCTATAGTATTTTTCTCTCACAAAAAATACACGTAAAATGATAATAGTTCTGAATTATAATTCTGAATCTATAAACAAAACGTCTACAATTCAAGTTTATTAGCGATTAACTCGAGTTAATTTTAGAAATATAATTTATCACTTGTAAATTCTATTTATCACAGATAAATTTCAATTTATTAATAATATACTATAATAAATCATTAATAAACACTACTTAACAGTTCATAAAAAAAACACACACTCAAACACACAAGGTTAACATTACAACTG